CAGGAAGGAGGATGTAACACAGAAGTGGTAACGTAATAGAAGGAATGTGTTTCCCTGCCCTTATCTAGCCTCAGTTCTGGCTCTGACAATGCTCCCCTGATGAATACAATGATGTGAAAGCAAAAGAGGGATTGTGCCTGTGTAAATACATATTACTGCAAGCCAATGAGGTGCAGTATGTGATATGTCACATATACACACTGATTCAGCAATGAATTAGGGTCAGGACAAGCATCTTTCCCTGCATTGTGAAGTGGTACTGAAGCATGAGGTCGATTGGCCTCCTGCTTATGTAGAGAGTTGCCCAGCTGCCAGAGCTGTGCAAGGGAGGCAGGCTGGCATCCATCCTGCCTTGGGATATGCTTTCACTGCAGATTGTGTTGGAGCATGGGCCCTGCCTAGCCCTGGGTGAGGCTGGTTACTTGCTAATCAGCAGGGGCATGAGCTGACCACTGGATACCCAGAGATGCTGAGCACACTGCAGTTACCATTCAAACCCCAGGGGGAGTGTGTACAACCCTGAGAGCTGCTCTTTCATTCTTTTGCTGGCTTTCCTCCTGGGCTCAATAACATACCAAAACCAGAGCTGTGGGACACAGTGATGTTTATCCTGTATGGGGCCTCTCTGTTAACCTTCACCACTCTGAAGAGAGTTGCTTCTTGTTTCATCCACCCTGCATATTCAAAGGTGTGTCACCTGAGGCTGTAGAGCGCTGCTTTCCCATCGCAGTGTTGCAGCACAGCCTTATTTGATTGCAAAGAGAAATGGCAGATCTTGCTTTGCAAGTTTATGTGGCTTCCTTTGTGATTCCCACCTCCTCTCCAGCTGCCAAAAAAGCAGACAGGCCACATCTTTTTTCAGGTGGACTGCTGCCAGTGGTACATCTTATGTCACTGATGGGCACCCACAATGTAGTTTTGCAGTTCAGGTTGGTTTTGTGGGGCAGCAGTCTCAGCAGTGCTTTAACCCTTATCACAGCAATGCTTAGAGACCTTGAACAGCACCAAATTAGTGTTGGATGTTACCCAGACACACAGAGCAGTTATTGTCCCACAACTCTTGTCCTCTAAATGCAAACTTAAAGATGAAAGGGAGCAGGTGGAGAAGCTGTAGAAAACAGTCACTCTGTGAAGCTTGTTAGTGGCGTGGTGTTAAACTTGAAGTGAGCTCAGGGTTAAGTATTGTTTGAACAGCAACTCTTCCTTGGTGTTTTCCCTTTTACTGCTTAAGGGTAAGTTGAATTTTTGGTTATTTGCTCCATGTTTTCTGGTGGTAACCCTGGCCTTTCTGGGTGTGTCATGTTTCAGTTCAAGTCTTTCTATTTTTGTTAGGTTTTTCTAGTATTGCTGGTATTGTGTTCTTATTTTTTCTTAGCCAGAGATAACAATAGATAGATATCCATTTGTGCCTCTAACAACTACTAGGAGAGACACATTTTTCAGAGGCTTTTAGATACATACCACCTTTGGAGCAATGTTTATTTATGCTACTGTTTTGACAGCTGGACATGGCTTGTGTCAGCTGCTGCAGATGGAGCTGCTGGCACTGAGCTCCTGGAATATGAAAAAAGATGAAATGGAACATCTCGATCCCTTTCTCTGAAAAAGGAAATAATCTTCCCCTGACATTGCTGTTCATTGTCCAATGAAGCTGTGACAGTGGCTCATTCTGCAGGCCTGTTACTATAAAAGGGCTGTGCTGGTCCTTCCTCCCGGATGTGCCCTGCTGTTTCATCACTATATCTGCTCCCCCCTCAGGACGTGCTGCTTCTGCCCTGCTGCGGGGGTGCTGGGCACACCAGGGCTGGGGCTCAGCACTGCAGGAGCCTGTCCCATGGAGCCAAGTGGTGTGCAGATCACCCAGTGGAGCTGGAGCAGAGTGAGAGTGCTCCCTCAAGCATGGGCTGTGCTGGAGCCTGTAATTAATGCACAGGGGGCATCAACCCCACAGGGGCCTCATTAGGAGAGCGTAGATGAGCTGCAAGGCAGCCTTACTACTAATAAACAAATTCCAAATGGATTAATCAATGGGAGGAAAAATCCATATACACTGACTAACATACCTGCTGCTTTGGATGTGCTGGCCCAGCTTGCTGCCCCACCTGCCTCCCTGGGCCTATTCTAGCTTGCTCAAAGGACTTTGTGTTGGCAGGAAAAGGAGCTGCTTGGGGCGCAGCAGGAGCAGGGATGCAGCTGCAGCCCAGGCAGGGAGGTGCCAACTCTGTGCCTTGGCTTGAGCTCCAGCAGGCTCTGCTTGTCAAGGATTCCATGGGTTTGGAACAAAATCTCATGCCTGACGTGGTGACCAGCCAAGGCAGCCTGCTGG